GTGAGAGCTATCGACTAGGATCTGTCAAAAACCCCTCCCTGTAGGGAAGTCGCTGTTTCCTGCCTTTCTGTGTTGGTGGCCATTCTGAACATGTTAATTTTACTCTGGAAAAGTTGACACATATTTCATTGTGGTTTAAGTCCATGTCCAAACAACCATATTCCCAAGGGGGCTATTTTCTGGTGGCATTGCACTCTGGCTGGGAAATGTAAGCAGTGTCAATGAAATCTGTGTGAAAATGGGCTGATGAATATGGCAGCTATTTGAAGATGGTGACTGACATAGTTCATAGCAACTCTTCAGAAACAATGGGTGACATCACTAAGATTACATTTATGTTTTATACAGTCTATGTGATCAGGGTCTGCACCTACAAGGGTCTGGGTTTTTGCAGGGTCTGCAAAAATCATATTTTTAGCTAGTTACACATAAAAATGAACATTAATATGAATTTGTGCTACTAAAGTAATTAGCCTGATGTGTCGAGTGTTTTTACTGGACAGGTTCTTTCAAGTTGCTAATCAATCAGGAAGAGGAGAAATTGTAACAATTTGTCACATTCTTGACTTGACTTACAACTTTGAAAACAGCAGTAAGACATGACCATACGTTTTACCATACGGTTCTATCTTATCTACCGCCTGTTTTTTTATTTGTATCTATTTCCAGAACTGAAACCCTTGTGTCTTTTCATCTATCTGTCCATCTTTCCTCGTCTCTCAGTCTCTCTCTCTTTTCCTCCCACCCTTTTTTCTTCTCTCTTTCCCATAAGACACTGCCTCTTCAGTCTGGGCAAACAGGTCAAGCTAGCTGATGGGAATCAGACAGTTGTTGATCCAATTAGAGATCCCCTCGAGCAGCATCGGAGTGTTGCAGAATCGCAATAAAATACTGTCTTCTTTCTTCCCTTTCCTCTTCAAACATTGCCCTTGCTGTAAAACACATGAATTTCTAGAGACACATATCTTGTGGAACTTGCGAGCCAGAAACCTGTAGGATCCAACTAAAGTTGTAATCAAGAAGTACAAAGCTTCCCATCATCCAAAATCTTTTCAGAGTGACATATTTTGGTCTGAAGAGTTCCCTCTGTTAGCCCTCTTTAAGAGTTTGCTGGGCTGAGACCAAAGCAAGTTGACTCCCAGCCCTGGTGAGAGGCCTCTTTTGTAACGGTCTTGATGGTGAAAAGCTGAGCACAATCTTTCACACAGGGGGGGGGCATTCCTGCATTGATTTCACCGTTCAGGCCAAGCAGATGTACAGCCAGCGCATGAATGTCTGACGTTACTGACATTGATGTATTATAATACGTGTGCTGATTTGTATTCATGGATCAGATGTTGTTCAGCTGGCCTTGCGAGACCATCCGGAGCACGCGAGCGATCTTTGTCTGCAGACAGCAGAGAGAAAAGGAATGGTGTGATGTGGTGTTCTCACTGTGCTGGCTCTTATTCTGCAGACAAAGGGCTGATTTACCCCAGATGCCGGCCCACAGGAAACACAGGCAACAACAGCAACAATTACTAATGCACGCAGCGCTAATAAGTGCAACAAGCTTCAGTTTAAATGCCTATTGTAATTCCACCGCCTCGCACAGAAGTACATCTGCACTCACTTGGTTCTTTTTACTGTGTGATAATGTGTCTGTTGATGAGCAGGAAGCCATGACTATCTCTCCAGAGCCACATGCACAGAGTGTGATTGAGCCGAGGCTGCGATCAAACGAGGCTAGCAGCATGGACATCTTGTTCATGCTAAATTGCTTTTGTGTTTATACATGTGCAGGCTTGCTCTTTGGTTGGTCCAAAGCACACATGCATATATATATACAGTATGTCTGCGGTCACCCCTCGTTAATGTGTTTTGCAGTTCCTACGGCAACCCACATAAAAAGACAATTAGGAGTTCCCACGAAGCACCTTGTTAGCGTCAGCTCTTGACCTCTGACCAGCAGCACTTTATGTCTTTTTCCCTTGTTTCTGGATCATTAGAAGGCAGCAAATTGGTTCACAGTTGAAGTTTTATTTTTCCAAAGTGCCCCCTTCAACGCAGACTGAAGCCAGCTTCAAATGTGTTGTACTTGGAGTCGATGACTTAAAGACACAGCATCAGTGAGCTAGTACGGCCCAGTTTATTCTGGGCTGTGCCAGTCATGAAATGATGTGTGTGTGGTGAGAGGTCTAAAAGGCTTTCAGGTTGGCAGCAGTTGGAATTGCGTATGAATGTGTCTGCAGGTATTTTGGTGTGTTTTTTTAGGTTTTATTGCAGGGCAGGAGGGTAGGAGGGTAGGAGGGTGTGTGTGTGTGTGTGTGTGTGTGTGTGTGTGTGTGTGTGTGTGTGTGTGTGTGTGTGTGTGTGTGTGTGTGTGTGTGTGTGTGTGTGTGTGTGTGTGTGTGTGTGTGTGTGTGTGTGTGTGTGTGTGTGTGTGTGTGTGTGTCATTGCTCCAGCAGGGTGAGTGTGATCACAGGCTGGGTGGGGTGGTGTGAGGCTGTTGATCTTGGGCAGGAGTCTTAAACAAATTGGCTGCTTCACTGTGGGAACTGGGATGTAGTCGCAGGAGTAACGTCAGCGTGCTCTGTGTCAGATTCTCCAAATCGCTCCAATAGCTAATTATCTCCCAGAGTGCCAGAGGAGGGGTTTGGACCAGCTTTGTTGTTTTTTCTTCTGCTTATTTTTCGTTCTCTCTCTCCTTCCTCCGCAACATTCTGAAAGGTTTCCCATATTGGCCCTCAAAAACATAAAAAAACACTTTCACTTTTTACGACCGGAGTTTGTCTTAAGGCTTCCCCTGAATGGGAATCTTTGGGTGTCTTACGATTCGATTTCATGATTAGATTTGGAATCGACTTTCGATTCAAAACAATTCTGGATTCAAAGTCTATTTCTGAGTTAGTCACTACTTCAGGATCGACTCCAGTCCTCTGTGAGACTGGTTACATTTCTTGTTGCTCCATTTGGCATTCTACTGAGTTAAAGAGCTACCCTTAGCACTTAACAGGGAGTCACAGATTAGAAAAAATAAATAAATAATAATAATTAAAAAAAAAACTATTTTTGGAAGTTATGAATCGTTATTAAATCGTAGAAGAGAAGAATCTAGATTTTTATATAAATCGATTTTTTTGCCACCTCTAGGTTGAACACTGAAAATATATCATTTTTAATTTGGCACACACTTTAAGAGAGCAACCTCATGATGACAACACTAACTACATGAGCGCTACCGATTCTCAATCAAACTTTGTATTAACCTCTTTGGCTCCACTGTACACCACTCTTTTGAAAACCCCCGCTTTAGTACCTAAACTTGGCAGGATACTTTATATTGACTTCTGTAATTCAAAAACCGATGGAAGCATGCAAGGTGAAGCTCTGGAATACATTTTGGAGCATTTGTTTTAGACCTTCAAGTAAATCAAAACTTTGGCAGAAACGACTAACTCTTTCTTGGACTAACATGTGTTGGACTGAAACAGGAATGTTTGCATGTTTTTTGCCCTATGTTAACACAAGTTTAACAACTATAAAATATTTATCTAAAAAAATGACATTTGCAGTAGCTACATTTCAGATAACAAAAATGCAAAAACAAAACGTCAAGTTAGATATTCAAGCCTAAATAATGGAAACACTGGTCATGAGATCAGACTGTTTAAAACATCTGTCTCAGCTCTGATTTCTCTCTCTCTCTCTCCTGTGTCCTGATTTCATTGCTGTGTTATTATCAAGGCCCAAGCACCTCTAAAATCTGGGATGGCAGATTAAAGCTTCAACCATTCTCTCATTTGGTGTCATCTCTTGCTCAGGGTGATGAAAGCTCTCGTTGCTCGCCTCCTGCAGACAGCGACGTGTTGTCACAGAGCGGCCGTGTTACGAGCTGCCAGGCCTGTAATGCAGAAGCGATGACAGGCGAGCCGGGTTCCTTTCTAAGCTGCCAGGTGCAGGGCGGCAGAGGTTCAGTGTCTGGACAAGCTTAGTGTGGACTGTACTGGTCTGTTGCTGAACTGTACAACCTTCCCAGGGACTGAGTGTTTGATCCTCGTGTAGGTTCTTCCAAGACCTCTTGTTTTCTCCTCCTTTCTCTCCCCAGTCACTCACCTGTTTCTCTAATCTCTTTCACTCTGTCCCCTTGTTTCTCACTGTCTCATTCCCCTCTCTCATCTCCTCAGTCTGCTTTGAAAGAGATTCTGATCTTGCTGACTTGCACCAAAAAGGGGAACCAGCACTCCTAAGACCCCCCCCCAGATCCCCTGCCAAGAGAGCCACTCCTTTCTCTCGCTGAGAACTCCCCCCCCCCCCCCTGATTTTTTCAATCTTTTCTGTCATTGAGTCTCTCTCTCTTCAGTATCTCATCACCTGCATCAATTTAGTCTTTTTTATTTTGTGCTCACCTGCAGCACCGGTGTGGGAACATACCCTTTGAGAAGTTATCATTATAGGTGAGCTCAACAGATGTAGCACCTTGTGTTGGCATCCTAATTGAAATAATGATCGTTTTTTATGTCATGATTTCCTGCTGATAGAAAAGGTTATAGTGCCCCCGGTGTACACTGTTAGAAAAGCAACATAAGTATCTCTTCTCAAACAGCAGTGTGGAAAACATTTCAAATAGAAGAGAACGAACATGGCTGTAAAAGTACAACACAGAGGGAATATGTGTGAGGAACAGGAACGCCTTCTAGAAATAAGCCTTGGCTGCCAGAGCCAGAGTCCTGCATTACCATCTCAGAGGTATTTACAAGAGCGATTACTGTGATTATTATTTCAACAATACCCTGCAATGCTCTTTCATGAGCTGCCAGCCTGGGCTGGGGAAGGCAGGGCCTGCCAACATTGTCGGTTTGGGAATCTGTCTGCGAGCTCCAACAGGAGGGGGAGAGTGGAGGAAAGACAGAAGCAGACTCATGCGACGCACTTTAAAAGGGGGTGTCCCTCCCTCTGAAAGAGGTGACAGAATTAAGTCCTTCTAATACCATTTTGTCTCCTCTCCCTGTCTCTGCAGCTCCCACGGAGCCTTTGCTGTGCAAATTTGCCGACGGAGGGCAGAAAAAACGCCAGAGTCAGAGCAAGTACCCTCAGAACGGAAGGCCATGGCACAGAGAAGGCGAGGTAAGAGGTTTCCCTCAGACACGACCTTTTATTACCCTCACAGATCAAATAAAGTGTTTACTGTGTCAAAATTGAGTAGAAAACGTCTTTCAAAAGGTGCTGGTAAAGTAAAGTAACAAATCAGTACAGATCACAACTGGATCCCTAAATAACATGACAAAATACATTGAGTTAATTGTAAACAATAAAAACTGTGACTCTTAAAGTTAGTCATGTTAGAGACGCAGCAATACTACTTTTTATTCCTGATAGAATTTTAATACTTACATTCACAAGTAGGCAGATTCTGAGTACCCCTGACTGATGCCATACAACACAGAAAAAAATACAAAATATAACCTAAAAAATCAAATGTACCCACCAACCCACTCATTGCCTTATTGATCAACTGGTTAGTCTCAATAATCAGCAGAGTAATTGATCATTTTTTCTGTGTTGGAGGCATTTTAGATACCGGTGTCAGTTTTGGAACAGCTCTTTTGATTTAAGAAAAAACAAACATTGAAGTTTAAATATGAAGTGCTTCTAACAAAATCCATTTACTAAATTAATGGTTCATCAAATGCTTCTTTTATTTTGTATTACCTTTATGCTCACATTCACAAATTCAGTAAATAAAAGCACCAAAATGTCAAACACATTTACATTCACACATTCTTAAAGTGATAGTTACTCGATTAGAATTGAAAATCAGGAAAGACTGCAGCCATAACATACAACTTGACCCAGATGAAGTCTTTTCTGATGCAACAGGATGACATTATAGACCAGGCGTTTACCTCTGAGGTCATGTTATTTCTAATAGCAGACCCCACACTTGCTAACAAAGCCCCTTGAGTTGGCTCTAACATCTGGTTTTACGTGAACTCTTACTGCCTGTCATTTGTATTTACTCTAACGTATGAGGCTGTTACAGAAAGAACAGAGAAAAAAAAAAACAGATATCGATCAAACTGCCCCCGGATGCATAGGCGCTGTCACGTAAATTGCATCTCAGGCCGAACGCCTCAGTGAACACATATATTCCCGCCATACATCAGGATGCAGGGAAAAACAGAAATTGGATACAGCACCATGGTAACATATTCATCAGCAACATGTAGAGACAAGGTTAAAGTGTCTTCATAGGATACAGAGCAGCTATACTGGGAAGGACGCACAGAGGAGACAGGAAGAGAGACTGGACTATATGGAACACACAAATACACACACACACACACACACACACACACATTAAGAGAGGCTGACAGTTGTGCTGAAACGGCAAGGTAAAAGAGATTAAATGTTTGTCCTTCAGCAAACATATGCTCTCTGTGTGTCTGTGCGGGTGTATGTCGGGAAGGAGTGTGTGGGGTATAACAGGAAACATGTGTGTTTGTTTGTGTGTCTGTCACATGTTGAGCACGTCTCACACCTGTGAGCCAGTGAAGCGTGTTTAACCTAAATCAAATTGCTACATCCTCCTGCTGCTCCACACGTTGACAGGGTCAGTAGACTTGAGGTAAAATGAGTGATTGTGTTTGAATGCGTGTGTGTGTGTGTATGCTAAATCGTGAGGGGTGTAATATCCCTATTACATTAAAGATTAAAGGGAAAAAAAAGGCTCCAAAGAGAGGAAACAGGAAACACCCCCCTCATTTCTCTTTACCTTACTTTAACCCTGACTTCCTCACTATCTTTGACCTGATCATTCAGCACCTTCTCACCATGTAACACTGATCCTACCTCCAGTACTCAATGTCTATATTCTGCTAATTATGCTTTTCTGAAACACATCCAACATCAACATCATTCCTTTCCAGGAAGTTTGACTTCTTTATACAGTTTTTAAGTCAAAGTGATAATACCACGGTGCACTGTGGACAGACGTAGCACATGAGTTTAAAACTTGCTGTTTTAAAAATCCCTCCTCCCTCTTGTTCAATTGCAGCAGCATGACTGAGAGGCCGAGGCTTAACGGCCAGAGTTCAAGGCACTGTGTGTGTGAATGTGTAAATCAGAAGCTGAACACAGAACCTGTGTGTGTGTGTGTGTGTGTGTGTGTGTGTGTGCGTGCGTGCGTGCGTGTGTGTGCGCGTGTGTGTGTGTGCTTTTGCTATCCTTGAGGGAGCCAGTGTGAGATATAGACCTTCAGAGTGAGGACAGTGTTTTTAAAACTGAGGTCATTTTAGCCGACAAACTTCGCAGAGAAATATTATAATTAGAGGGTTAGCATTTAAAGTGAGGAGAGGGTTCAAATAAGTTCAACTTGTTGACTAGATTGAGATTTGGTTTAATACTGTCCTTTATTTTGTTGTCCTTTGGAACAAATAGACTTATTAAAAAAAAAAAAACGTGCACATTTATCAAGTCCTTATCTTATTGGATGTTATTTAAAGTAATGCATGGTTGAAACTCTGACTCAAAAATCACAAAACCAAGGTACAAAATTATTTTTAAAAGTGGTATGCACATGTCACCCCCCTTGATTCTCTATGATTTCCATACATTTTCACATTACATTCTTGATTTTGCATTAAAAAGCACATGGTAGCTATTTTGCTGTGGTCTCTTCACTAGACTCTAGTGACACAAAGTTAGGATTTAGTCATCATATACCTCTATTGCACCTAAATATGACGCTCCTTACTACCTCAAAGAGAAGGTGAGGAGTCTGTTATCATGAAATAAAATCACCAGAAATAAAAGGTACATCTGCAGTCTAAGTCAGGGTTCAGTCTTACTCTCAGCCTTCAGCAGAGTGTGTAACATCATCTATTAACATCCTGTTATACACCAGGTTTTTGCATTCATACCTGCCCTTAAAAGGCACATTTCCTTTTAAATAATCTCATTTTAGGAGCAACGCTAGTTACATTTCGTTGTCCATTATTGATTAGGGGCCGTGAGTTGCTTTTGTCTGGCTTGCTTTAGAATCCTTTTTTCCTTCACCTCACATTAGCACCTGGAGGTCACAGTGGAAGTCAGACCACCTGCAGATAGCACTCAGATTGCACTGCATTCAGAATGCATGTACAAGTACATTTTTAATAGAAAGGCCTTTATGCATTAAGGATAGTAATCCGTGCATGCATGTGTGTGTATGTGTGTGTGTTTGCATGCGGTGGTCAGTGATCAGCTGCTCGGGCAGACAGCAGATAGACATCACATGTAAGCCTATTTATCAGAGTTGTGTCCATTCTTCAACTCGCTCCCTGCGCCAGGCAGAAATACAGGGAGCAACACCAAAACCAATCCATTACTCTCTCTCTTTCTTTTTCTCCATGTACCTCCACCCCTCCCCCCCCCGCCTCCATCTCTACAGCGTGTCTCACTCTGCTCAAATCTCTTCCTCTCACTCTCTTCTTCTCCGGCTGGCTCTCTTTCTGCCCTTCAGCGCTCTTTCCTTCTAGTCGTTCTTTCCATCTCTTCCTGATGTTTGAAGTCTTCCCAGATCCCACAGCAACATATGGAGAGAGAGAGAGAGAGAGAGAGAGAGAGAGACTCAGTGAGACTGAGAGACAGAAAGAGAGAGGGAACACATTGCATGATCAGTCAGGAGTTACACAGGGTTGAGTGCTGCAGGGTGGCTGCTGGTGAGGATTGAGAAATATATGACAGATTTTCTTGTAAACTACCCAAAGTGGGAGTCTAGAAAGTGCTGCTTCTCGCTGTCTCATGCTGACAAACATATTAGTCACTGCATTTTTTCTGCAGCGGACACACACACACACAAGCGCCGTGGGTTCTTGTTCTTTTTTCTCTCCTTTTTTTTCTCTCTCTCTTTCCCTTTTTTCTCTTCCTCACTCACTTTCACCAGCACACACTCCCACACACAAAAACTTTCAAAGTCACACTTCTCAAGCACCTACTCAGGGGGAATGAGTGTAGATGAAAAAAAAAACATCCGGCTTTCCACTCTGTGTGAAAGCCTGACAGATGTCCGAGTGTGTGTGAGGGTTTGCTGTGTGTGTGTGTGTGTGTGTGTGTGTGTGTGTGTGTGTGTGTGTGTGTGTGTGTGTGTGTGTGTGTGTGTGTGTGTGTGTGTGTGTGTGTGTGTGTGTGTGTGTGTGTATGGCCACGAGGCTGGGAGAAAAAATAGAAAGTGAATGTGTGTATGGAAGACAAAAATACCAGGATGGAGCTGGTCAACGTGTGTGTGTGTGTGTGTGTGTGTGTGTGTGTGTGTGTGTGTGTGTGTGTGTGTGTGTGTGTGTGTGTGTGTGTGTGTGTGTGTGTGTGTGTGTGTGTGTGTGTGTGTGTGTGTGTGTGTGTATAAATCCATAGAAAAGTCTTACAGTCATCAGCCATGCAGGCTGCTGCTTCAGAGTTTTCTCTGCTGCAGAATTCATCAGGACATGCAACCAAGGGCAGCACTTATGGGAGTTATCAGCCTTAGCAGACAGCTGGCCATGTCAGCTGCAAATAATTTCTAAATACACAAACAGAATTTTAACGAAAGACACTGAAAGTTTAAAAGTTGTTTACATGTCAAAGGGGATGCTGCAAGTTCCCTCATCTAAATGCCTTCTAAAGCCCTTATAGTCACAAAACACCAGCAAGGGTTTATTCATTCAGAGGAGATTGTGTGTCTTTACTCACTGACGTGGGTTCAGTCTAGGAGCACTGATCCCCCCTGTTCCTCTGAGCCACTATTCCCTTAACATTACAGCCGAGTAGGTAACCCTCCGGAGGAACAAGGTCAAAAAAGTGGTCCAGAGAGACAGGAGGAGGGGAGATTAAGAGATGAGGGGGGTGAGGGATGAAGAGACAAAGGTAAGGAGAGGAAGGTGTAGAACACTAGAAGAATGGAGGGGTAAAGTGAGAGAGAGGGAGAGAGGAAGGGGAGGAAAAAGAGAGTGTGTATGTGTGTGTATGCTGATGAAATCTGCCGTCCTCAGCAGCCTCACGTTAAAAGAAATCGGATTAGCCCTCCTCCGGGAGAGAACCTTCAGGAATGCAGATGACAGATTGTGCCGCACAGGTTTCTCTCCTGGACTCTTAGGGGGGCCACACACACTCACTTACACACCCGCGCACACACATCATCACCACCAGACAAAAAAGTGAATTTTTCACTCACTCCTTTTTCTCTGCAAAGGGCACATCTTCATTCAGTCTTATTCATAAAACCATGATTGTACGTGATTGAAATAGAGAGAGGAGTCGCGTCCTCGCTATCAATTCCCTTTGTCCTATTGACAGAGCTGTTTCCCACATTGGCTTTGTCGCTTGCCAGATTTTTCAATTTGAAATGATTTTGATTTGATTGAATCACTTTTGAACAAGAGAATCAGGATATAAATGAACACATTCTCCAGGTACAATAAAGGTACGGCTCAATTTCTTGGTGACATTGCAGGAGCATATTGACAGATTGTCAAGAAACAAACCAACACAAAAATAACACACAAAGGACAGTGGCTGAATGATCCCCAATGTCCAACAGAACTATACTATACAATTTAACTGTACCAGTGAGGGTCTACCTTCTGAAATGTTGGGACTGAATCAAATAACCAAAAGTGTGCGTCTTTCTGTTCCTTCAGAAGGTCTTGTCTGCATGCTTAATATAAAGGTTCAGGTGGTTAGCCTTGCTTAGCATTGAGAGTGCTAACAGGAAACAGCATGTCTGACGTCTGAAGCCAACTATCTCTACAGCTCACTTAATAACATTTCACGAACAAAGACCACACCAAGTGGTCAGTATCTTTATACTGATTTAGAATAGTTTAGAGTAATATGCATGGCAGAGATCGAAATGATGAGCAGAGTCGGATAATAGGAAGATTGAGGGTGGAGGGATGAAGGTAAGGGTAGAGGGATGAAGGTAAGGGTAGGGGATGAAGGTAAGGTAGAGGATGAAGGTAAGGGTAGGGGGATGAAGGTAAGGGTCGAGGGATGAAGTTAAGGGTCGAGGGGTGAGGGATGAAGGTAAGGGTCGAGGGATGAAGTTAAGGGTCGAGGGATGAAGTTAAGGGTCGAGGGATGTGGATGAAGGTAAGGGTCGAGGGTGTGGGATGAAGGTAAGGGTCGAGGGGTGAGGGATGAAGGTAAGGGTCGAGGGATGAAGGTAAGGGTCGAGGGATGTGGGATGAAGGTAAGGGTCGAGGGGTGAGGGATGAAGGTAAGGGTCGAGGGGTGAGGGATGAAGGTAAGGGTCGAGGGATGAAGGTAAGGGTCGAGGGATGTGGAATGAAGGTAAGGGTCGAGGGGTGAGGGATGAAGGTAAGCGTCGAGGGGTGTGGGATGAAGGTAAGGGTCGAGGGGTGAGGGATGAAGGTAAGGGTCGAGGGATGAAGGTAAGGGTTGAGGGGTGAGGGATGAAGGTAAGGGTCGAGGGATGAAGGTAAGGGTTGAGGGGTGAGGGATGAAGGTAAGGGTCGAGGGATGAAGGTAAGGGTCGAGGGGTGTGGATGAAGGTAAGGGTCGAGGGGTGAGGGATGAAGGTAAGGGTCGAGGGGTGAGGGATGAAGGTAAGCATCGAGGGGTGTGGGATGAAGGTAAGGGTGGAGGGGTGAGGGATGAAGGTAAGGGTCGAGGGGTGAGGGATGAAGGTAAGCATCGAGGGGTGTGGGATGAAGGTAAGGGTGGAGGGGTGAGGGATGAAGGTAAGGGTCGAGGGGTGAGGGATGAAGGTAAGGGTCGAGGGGTGAGGGATGAAGGTAAGGGTCGAGGGGTGAGGGATGAAGGGATGTGAAATCTGCATCACAGGAATAGTAGGGATTAAGGCGTGCTTAAATAAGTATGAAACGTATGGGTTGTATTTGAGGCGTGGTCAACGTTACTGAACCAAGTTTTCATCTACATTTTTTAATCCGAACAAAAAAATGAATGTATAATTGTATCATCTTTATATGACAAACTGTCTTTATAATTGTCACAATGTTCTCTTTTGTACTTTTAGTATTTCTTTCTTTATAACACATTCTTTATTTGTGATTAATTCTACATGTATATGTTTTTGGTTCTCTTTCAGAGCGGCATGGCGTTATATGATCCGGCTGCAATGCAGAACGGGTAAGAGTCTGACAATCAATCCATCCTTGGCACCAACTAATACACTCACCTCTTGGCTCATAGGGGCCCAGTCAATAATACTGTCATACATAAAGATTAATGTAGTGTCTGCACTTTGTCACTGTTTGATTAAGGAAATCTGTATGGACTTCAAATATCAGTTTCCAATGGTGGTGTCGGCTGAGAAGTAACATAGGGTAGCTGAGTTAGCGTGTGTGTTTACGTGTGTTCTGCTCTTTATATATATGTGTGTGTGTTCCTGTGCGTCTTTATGTCTTGATTTAATGGTGCTATAGAAATAAACGACCCGGCGACATGTTTTATTTGTCCCTGTGAGCTCTGAAACAGGAAGGAGAGCTCTAAAGCAGCCTTGTATCTCCCTGTGGCCTCAGTCGTTCACAGGAAGCTCCTTATTCCCCGCTTCCTAAACCACTTATCCCCCAGTGACTCCGAGTCAATCTTCACCACAAAAAAAAACTCCCAAAAACGGGATGAATAGCTTCACTCATTACACACAGCCTGCCATGTAAAAGCCTGCTTTGCTCCAAATCCGCTAAATTATAATCCCTCAGATACTTGTGTTAAGCAACAGACCTGCTGGGAGAGGAAAGATTCTCTCTTAATACATTCAGCCAGAACTTTAGCCTCATAATTATATATCTCAGAAAATAAGGGGAAATGGGTGAATTTAGTAGAAAATAATATAAAAGTAGTCGACTATATTCAAGTGTTAAGGAAAAGTGGAAAATGCATAATAGAGTAAATCATTTTACAGATACGGAGGAATAATAGTCAGTTAACTGCTTCCATCTGGTAAAAAACTGAGTTTGCACATTTGATATAGTTCTAAGAATGTAGAAATTATAATACATTTCTTTTATTACACAAACTAGTCTTTCTACAGTGACAGAAGATTTTGAAGGCTGTCCATCATTTTGACGGTTTATAATACTGAGGGCAATCCAGTATCGCATGCTGGTACATCGAGGAGGTGATTCAATCAATTAAAAAAAGATTCCCTTAGAGCATGTGCACTTAATTGCGAACCCGAGACACTGTAGGCTATGTTTATCCGGTTTCTGACAGTGTGTTGAATAGCTATTGGCTGGAGGCCTTTGAGCGCGTCTGTTAGCTTTATGAGTAGAGGGGTCTAGGGGGCTGCAGCGGGGCGGCATGCTGCAGGGTTTCCTCCCGCTGAAGCCAGTTACGGAGGAGGAACGGTTAATCCAACATTCATGTCTAGTTCTGATCCCTTCAACGGAATAAAAGTTTCCTGGCAACAAAACTTTGTCTTAAGTAGCGCTGTGTAATTCCATCAGGACGAGGGCTCAGCCTTCAGAGAAGTCGTCTGTATGAAACAAAGAGGCAAAAAGTAATGACAGTGGCCTCTGCTGTAATCTCCCCTGATGAGTTTAATTCAAGTTTAAGTGAGCACCTAGTTAAAGTCCCTGTGAACAAAGAGAAGGTTTGAGTTACAGGCAACAACACAAGTCGATCTATTTCAGTTCAAGTAACGTCTCGTCAAAGTTTATTCATAGGAAGAAAAAAATAAAATGATGCATAATAACAGTCTGACAGAATTTTTACAACCCTGACTTTCCAAATGACGGACAGTGAGAAAGTTAAACTCAACCTCTGCTCCAAACAGAACATTAGCCTGAAAATATAAGTACTGCACAACATGGGGAGCTAATTCTCTTTTATTCAAGATTATTTCAGGCTTTTTGGCCTTTGATAGGACAGCTGAAGATACACAGGACATGTTGGGGAGTTGGACTTGGGGATGACATGCGCCAAATAGCTTGAGGACAGGGATCAAACCTGGGTGCGATGAGGACTATCACCTCTGTACACATGGGGCACCTGCTCTACCAACTGAGCTGAACCAGCGGCGCCCCAAGAGCTACTTCTGTACCTTGAAATGTAATGTCGGTTTGTAAACCCTGGTATATGACGAGTTAAAGATACTCGGCCAGTAACATGATATGATCTTCAATTCAGGAGACTTTTAGAAGCTTTCTTTAAACAATGAGATATCATGGCATAACACATCACCTTGCTTCTGTGCGGCTCATGTCAAACTGTCTAAAAATGCATTGAGCAAATTCTCCAAGCTCAGCGTACAAGTCTGCTACTTAAAGCCATGCAGCACGGTACAGTGTGGACTCAATACTGAAAACCACATTGAAAAAAAATACTACTTTTATATGATGACATATAAAAGTAGTATTTTGATGTGATAAAACCCAACTTTTCAATTGAGAACACTATAAGACATTTCATGAAACTTTCATTTGCTTGAGTGTTTGCTCAGAAGAAGCAGCAGGATAAACCCAGAGTGTGGATGTTCTTTTCTGTGTGTGTGTGTGTGTGTGTGTGTGTGTGTGTGTGTTGTGTGTGTGTGTGTGTGTGTGTGTGTGTGTGTGTGTGTGTGTGTGTGTGTGTGTGTGTGTGTGTGTGTGTGTGTGTGTGTGAGAGTAGGTTTGTGGTAAGCTGCATGTGTTGTCTTGTCTTTTATATAGACTAAAATAGATTTATACAGACAAAGATCTCAGTTAATGCTCCATTGTTGAACTAAGGTAATAATATATCTACCTTCTGCTCTGTATGAATTTGACAAACTAATTCTGCCTTATCTTCTCGTCTCTCTGTTACCTCCATCTACTTCCTTTTTTTCTTCTTCTCTTTTCTTTTGCTTCCTCTCCATCCCTCCTCAGGTTCTACTCCTCGCCTTACAGCATCGCCACCAATCGCATGATCGCACAGACCTCCATCACGCCCTTCATCGCTGCTTCCCCCGTCTCCACATATCAGGTGGGGCCTTAATGCACTGCATTGTGGGTAGATTGCTGACTGTGTGTGTGTAACAGGAGGGTTTGTTTTGTGTAAATTTGAAGAGAGGGGCTGCAAACACAGTGTGAGGCTCTCTCTTCTTCTTCTTCTCATCGTTTCTTTGCTGGTCCAGCTGTGCTCCATGACATCTGTTTCGTGGGAGGCGAACACAACAGGCATCAGAAAACAAGCGCTAGAAAAAAAAGGGATTAAAAAAAGGCTGGCAGCGTAGAAAGATATAAAATCAGCCATCAAGAATGAAAGTGTCGAAGAAAAACAAACGCTTCTCTCCCTTCCACTTTCCTGACCTCTTTTGTGCTCTCTAAGCTGCTAACGCGATTTTATTTCTTCTCTCTTGGATAAAAACGTTTCCTCATCCACGCTGAATCGCCACACACCTCGTGGTTGTGATCTTTGTTGTTTCAAAGTTCTCCACTTTGAAACATTGTGAGCCGGCGCCTTCGTGCCCTCGCACTCAGACGCTATCTTTTAACATCGTCTCTGTTTTTTGTATGCAGAGAGGTGGAGAGTGAGCGAGAGAAAAGAGATGAAGGATAGAGAGGAGTATGGAAGGGACAGATGGAGAGAGAGACAACTAGGGAGAAGAGGACGGATAGGATGGGTGTGGTGATGGCTCAGGTGGGGAGGGGGAGGGGGGGAGGAGGAAGAGGAAGAGAGAGGAGGAGGAGGAAGAGGAAGAGGAGGAGGAGGAAGAAGAGGATGAGGAAGAGAAGGAGGAGGAAGAGGAGGAGGAGGAAGAGGAGTAGGAGGAGGAAAGAGAGGGGGAGGAGGAGGAGGAGGAGGAAAGAGAGGAGGAGGGGAGAAGGAGGAAGTGGAGGGGGAGAAGGAGGAAGAGGTAGAGTAAGAAGAGGAGGAGGAGGAGGAGGAGGGGTGTCGCTGAAGGTTGCTGTGCCCGTCTTTGAGGCACGCTTGATTAAAACTATGGTCTAGTACCTGTGGTGGAGGGGTAAGGGGGGAAAAAAGGGAGGAGGAGGCAGAGGAGGAGAGAGAAAAGTGGGCCAGGGCGCATCTCTAATCCGCTCTCAGAAGGCTTCCCAAATTGATTTATCAAAAACAATGGCTGGGCTTTTGAGGAATATTAATCCTCACAGTTTCAATATCGGGCAGCTCTGCCTCTGCTTCCTGTAATATCGCCCTTCAGCCAGTCACGGTGGGAAGGTGAGTCCTTCATCTTCTGTTCAAGTACAAAGAGACAGAGGGAAAAGAAAAGAGAAGACAGGCTGGGCAGCTACATGCGCCAGACAAAAGAAAATCACTTCCTTTTATGATGGAAACTAGTCCCTTTGTGAGACGTACGTTCATAGTGTTTGTCCATGTATGTGGATCGTTTCTGAGCTACGACTTTGATGGCATTTATTTATCAAATGTTCAAATGATCCATGCCAGCAGCACTGTTCTGGCGTTCTTTGAAGCCCGGCAATTGGCTTTGTTTCCTGGAAAAGAAGCTTTAATGATCCACATGACAGGACCAAGTCCAGGCCAGATCAGGACCAAGATCTCCGCTCGAGCCGCCAGCCGACTGTGGTCTGGTTTACATCATCCACTCTGCAGACTGGCTCTCTGGCTGAATACATATGTTTCTGGCTGGCTTACTAACCAGCTAACTGGCTGGTAGTATGAATGGTTGATTAATCAGCCAACTGGCTGGCCATGCTGATAAATGACTGACTGCTCAGCTTTCTGGCTTATTGGCTGACAGACAGGCTGCCAGGTTCAGCCAGAGGTGGGGAGCTTCTTTTTGGTCATGCACATGATACCTTGAATCCAGCTGAACCCAGTGTGATAGCTAACAGTGTACGCTTAGTAACGGATGTAATGAAAAATAATCAAATCCAGCTTCTAAGAGCTGTTTTTAAGATCTCCAGGAAAATCCAAGTCCAGACCAAGTCCTCACGAACAACTTTTTTGGTTCTTCAAATGCCAAGTGTTTCATTGGAACATGTTCTGCTCTTACTGTCAAAATAGCACTTTTAAACATAACCAATACACATGTGGCCTTCAGCCCTGCTTTTTTAATTGGTTAGTAATAATAAGTCTTACATTCTTATTATTGTAGGTCAAAAGTATCTTCAAAGATGCGGGAAAAAAAAACAGTCAGATAAGTTCAGTTTTTTGGCAAGTAGTTAGCCAGTTTTTTGGCTAACTACTTGTTCTCATCACAAGTACAAGTTCTACACTGCATAAAGCAAGGCCATCATTTCCATCTGGAATAGAAGCTGCACTCCTTCAGGCAGCATGAGCCATCGGAAACACAGCACTGTCTTTCTGTGCAACAAAAGTTTGACTTACGTGAACTTTCCAAATTTCCAAAATTCCAAATAACACGACCTCCTTAACACACATCCTATCAGAAGCAGGCATTGGAGCAGCATGATTACATACATTTTTAAGTAGGGAAGATGGTGGAAATTTCAACTTTGTGAAACAAGTTCTGCACTCCAGCTAAACTGTGCACAAATGAAAATCCGTCTGTCAGAATATATCAAATCTGAATCAAAATGTTGATTGTTTACATTCTGATGTAGTCGGCATTAATAGGCTGAGTCCCTGTCCAAGATTGCCTTTTTGTTTATGCTCTTCATTCTACCCATCAAGAGCATACATTTGATCTGTAACTGCAGAGATAGTGAGGGATACTGTAGGTCTGTTAAGGTCTTGGTTCACAGTCTTATACTATATGTATCAGTTTTTATGTAAGATGGCTATAGTAGAAAAGCACAAGAAGCACAAAAAATCTACTAGTATCATCCGTCTTTGACACTTTCTTTTTCCAATTTTTGTCATAATTTTTCCAAATAATCATTTAGCTTTGAGACAAGACTGGTTATCTGGTACAACCTCAAAACGGGGGGGGGGGGGGGGGGGACTATTGGAGGTCTGACTGTAAACATGGCTTTAGCACTTAAACTGTATAAAACAAGAAGCAGCCAAAGTGCCGTCACCCATCCAGTTTGGATCACCAATTTTAAAGCCTTGTGTTTAGCATTTCGTTGGTTTCCATCGTGGTTGTTTGGAACCAAAAGGAAGCATATCTGGTGGATTGGGTGAATACACATTGCAATGTCTATTCTAGTTGACAGGTTGCTGTGATAGTGACTTTTTAATCACAGATAGCCATGCCCCATAGTATACACTGCTCTATCTCAAATGTACACCAACTGGGACCATAAATTACAAAGGAACATCATGTGGTAGTGATTTAGAAGATTTTAACTTTACTGGCTGTGAGGACATTTTTTGCATTATTCAAAAAAAGAATAAAAATCAAAGACAACCAAAGATTTTATCCATTTCTTCAGAAAATTTCCTCCCAAAGACTGCAGTTCTGTTCTCCATTAAATAAACCCACGATGGTCATGCAGTATCTCAGTCAGAAAACACTGCAGATAAGTGATTAAAGATAAGCTTTCTGTGTGTCTATCTGCTGTCCCGTTCAGCTGGGGAGAACAAATACTGCCATGTATAAACAAACAGACTTGGCGTCATGTTATAGAATATCAAGCTTGTTCAGGTCTGGATCCAAACTGCGCATTTGGGTTGGCTCAGAGGATTGATTGCTCTTATAGCAGATTATTCCATGTTTGTCTTTGTTTAATCTAATCATTTTAGCAGGATCAGCGGCCAGCCTGTGTGTTTGTCTGCTACAAGCTGTCTAATTCCTCTCTCCAGCACATCTAAAAGCTCTGTTTGTTCTTCCATTCCTCCAGTCTCTTGATCATTGTCTCTGTCACTGTTTCACATCTCTAACTTTCTCATCCACAATTGTAAATATGCTGTCTGTGAATGTTTACCTCTGGTAATGGATCGGCATTCCTCTGAATTTTTTGCCCAGAAATAAGAAAACTCCCATCCAACACTCACAAATCCCTGTTTTTATTCATTTTTCTGTCCTTCTATGTTTGAATGATAAGCAGCCTGCCCTCCAATCAACACATTTACCCATCTTGCAACTTCACTGGCCGTTAATAATATCATCATTATAGAGAAGGAACCTGTTGTTTGAGCTCTATTCACAAGTCATACTGCCGGCAATAATGAGGGTGAGGGAGATTTCCTGCTTACAGACTTTCAAATACTTTTTAGAATTCCTTAGCACAACTTAATCTGTGTAAAGGTCAGATGTGTTGGTACATTAAAACCAGAGCAGTCATTTTAAAAACCTGCAGACTCAAAAGTATTTGAACATAATGTGAATATTTGAACAGCGTTTATTGCTGAACATGCAACACTACTTGGATCAGCCTAAGATTGAGTAACATTTATGGTCACAATGGTGATTTACATTTCATGTGTTTCTCCTCAGGTCCAGAGTACGTCATGGATGCCTCATCAACAATATGTTATGCAACCTACAGTAAGTACTACACCATTCCCCTGCAGTAGCTGCCCTTGACTCCCCATTGGGACCATCTATTAGTTGAAAACTAGAGTTGGCCTCCAGTTTCTCCTCTCTGCAAAGAAGTTGTTCAAAGTTTATAGGAGGTTCTTGTTAAAAGAAGTTCATTTCAAGTTCAGGCTGAGAAGATTTGACAAAATAGAGGATTTTTTATTTATTTAAAACAATAATATTGATTGCAAAAGTAATTTCGTCTGGAAAACGTCTATGCACAATCTTTTATTGCAGGTCAGATATTGAACCCTCTAAATTGTAACTAGAACATACCATCACAGCACCATACCGTAGGGAAACTTCTGATAGCTAGATGATTGCATCACTTTCATCTTGCAGTTGCTCTAGTCAGCTCTATAAAAGCATCTTGTCCCATTCTAATAACCACATGTTTCCATTTTTCCCAAAAATACAAACACATTTTTGGTTGGAAGTTTATAGGTGTGAGATTTGCCAGGAAGTTTCATTAACTAGACCACAGAACAATGCAGACAGTCTGTAGACTGTTACTCAGGGTTACCAGTCCAGAGAGCAGACAGGAGGGAAAAATATATTCATCAAATTTAGTTCACCAACAACACAGTCTGCCATAGTACCAGTGAGGTAATCACATTGAATCCAAAGGTACTCAGTCATTCTGGTTGAAGAGTACAGAACATTAGTTTCATAGAGTCCATGATTTTTTGGGTGGGGGGGCCACCCAGTCTGCAAACAATTAATGTACTTATGAGTTATTATAAAAGAAATCTGCGGTAAGGTTATATTTTACTCCTTCCCATGAAGATTGGTGGATGTTTCACTGTTTTATTAGAAGTCAGAGAATAAGCTACAGTATGTTTCCATGCATGTGTTTAGGCAGAGACTTAATTAGTCCAGCATTTTTTTCACTTTTTGGAACCATATTCATAGTTTGTTTGGAATATCTCCCAGATTTGCCTTCCTAATGTTGTAGCAACAAAGTGCTTCAGTAGTTTAGTAAATTGTTCTTAAGTTGAGCTTTAATTGATCCTCTCGCCATGAGCGTTCTCATTTTGTTGCTTGGGGGATTTAAATCATTCTGCCAGAGGCTTTAATGTTTGCTGGAGGCTTTTTGTGGCCCCTGAAGCACATTCAGTGTATGCTGTTCTTAATTTAACTCAACCAGAGCCGGAGAGCACATGTTATAGATTTTTACCATCATGAAACTGTTCCACTTCAAATCAGTCCAAACAAGTCTGATATTGTGCCGTTGTACATTTCAGGAAAAGCACCTCAGTATTTCATAGAGTAAACTGTAGAGATGTGTAATATTACTTTAACATACAATGTAGTACAGTTAGCCAATATAATTCAATTATTGTTGCATTTAATTGATGCATCAGAAGGTTTCCACCCTCAGATAGAAAGAGTTATCTCTTTAGTACCTACATTCACTCTTCTGTTCTTATTAAAGGTTGCTTTACTATTAGGGCCCAAAGTATTCAGAGTATAACTTGTGTTGCTCTGTAATACAGTGACCATTTGTTTAGTAGATAGATGTAAAGCTTTATTCTCCCAAATTGGATAATAACTCACACTGTAGAAACTATACAATTCAGTTTCTACAACACTGTTGAGTACTCAAATTTAATCATGAACTGATTGCCAAACTAACTTAAAAAACTCAGCTCTGTATTTATTAATATTTTACACTACACAGTAATTGCATCGCTAACTTCCACATCTGTATCTATTTATTATTAAATATTATCCCTGCAAACGTGTATTCTGGTTTTAACCCAGAGTTAACCAAGAAGGCAAATACTATAAAAGAAGAATTTGTTTTTGCATCAAGGAGACCCATGGAGTTAATAGCCTTGTTATCCTCAGTCAAAAAGACATGATAGTCATGAGTCCCTTTAACTGCACACAACTGGGAAACTCTGGACTCCACGGCCGATGGTCCATGTGGAGGAGTGCCCAACCAGCTGCATGGCTCCCTGCTGGGTCCATTTACCACTCAGTCCTTCCCATCTCACTTCCACTCCTGCTGTGGGACAGTGAACGTGTAATCTGGTCACAGCAGGCCACCAGCAGACATACACACTCACACACTCACTCACACACACACACACACACACACACACACACACACACACACACACACACACACACACTGGCTGTAGCTGCCCTCCCAGCCAGGCGACCGCCTGCCTTTTTTCTGCAAGTATCTTAACACAGCCAGCCTTCTCTGCCCTGATGTCTCTTACTACTTTGGCAGTTAGAGCGGCAACTTCCTGGTGCCTCTAGTGTCACGCATCATTTAAGCTAGCTCGCTAACAAATTAACTCTATTTGATGTTGCTTCTTAGTCTGCCTGTTGTGAGGGTGATGATAACACCATGGGTGCTAGACAGTATAACAAGGTGAATGATAATTACTGGATTTACGAAAGCAACTGTTTAGGATGTACAGTGCTGCTTATATGGATGGATGGATGGATGGATGGTTAGTTGGATGGATATCAAATATATGAATGGATAGATGTTATAATGACAAATGGATGGATTGGTGTATAGATGGGTGGATCCCCAAATGGAAATGCAGCAGTTTATCCAGAGCAGGCACAGAAACAAGAACATAACACTTGAACAGAGATGTTTTTACATAAAGGAAAAACACTCAACACACCAAATACACCATAACTATGAACATACATATAATATCTATGCATATATATATATATATATATATACACACACACACACACACACACACACACACACACACACACACACACACACACACACACACACACACACACACACACACACACACACACACACACACATAATATCTAATATATATGGGGCGGCAGTAGCTCAGTCTGTAGGGACTTGGGTTGGGAACCGGAGGGTCGCCGGCTCAAGTCCCAGTGCAGACCAAATATGGAAGTTGGTCTGGTAGCTGGAGAGGTGCCAGATCACCCTCCCCACCATCAGCTCAGGAGCGCCCACTGTGGGCAGCTCCGTCACTCTGACATCTCTCCATTAGTGCATGTCCATAGGATCCTGTTTGTGTGCATGTATGTATATACTTCAGCCTATGTGTGTGTTGCATGACTACAGAGTGTAAAAACTGAAATTTCCCCTCACGGGGATCAATAAAGTAAGTCTTCTTCTTCTTATCAATATAATGCACACAGTGAAAATATACCAGAAAACTCCAAAGATTTCATATAGATATACAAAATCTGTACAACTATTATACACTCTTAAAAATACAGTAGAAAGCCCTTTTGATGTAATGGAATTAAAATTGAAAAATACAGTATATACACCAAGCAGTGAGTAAATTAAATGTTCTGAAGGATAAACACGTAGTTCGCAGTTTAAGAGAATGTTCTGGAGAGGACACAGGTTTGCTTCTGCATACTTGTGAGTCTATGTATTTTTGTTTGTGTCTTGGTTATTTAGACTACACCAAAACATATGGTTAATTAAATGTAGATCACATTATTGTTCTTCTTCTGGCACCTTCTCAGACTCTTAAGTCTTGTCTTGTTGTGTTTTGCAGACAGAACATATACAGCCTCATCTTACATGTTGTTTAACTGCATGTTGCATGTTTATGTGTACTCTATGTGGTATGTAGTTCCATATGTGCGGTCCATACTGGTTACTCCCAACCAGCCTGTAGGGCTGCCTGAGATCCATCCATCCTCCAGCCTTATGTCATACAGCTTTTTGGAGCCATTAGTGGTAGCCACAAGCTAGCAGCCTCATTGTAGACTGGTTTACATCTTATGAGGCCTCCATGCCAGCAGTAGACATGTGGCCATTTTCATCCCCATAGCCTCGTCCCCATTGTGTTCCAAAGTCTGTCCCTGTCACCAAAACGGCTGCTAGGCGCTAACCCCAGCTGTCACCACCATCAGTGGATGCCTAGCAATCTGTCTCCCTTTATAACCAACATTTATATCTGCTACCAGCTACATCCACAGTAGACTGCCCCTTACACACACATAGCTGGCCACAAGCTCAGTGAATTACATCAAATTAGCCAAGCATGCTAGCTTCAAGAGCTCAGGGGCCTTCTCAAAGCATTAAAAACCGATTGATTGTGGCGCAGTTTGGCGGCTTACACCACGTGTTGCATGTTAAAGCAATGGAGCGTAGTGCAATGAGGCTCCTGGTGGCCAGGCAATATGGAGGCGGCCGAGCATGCAAGGGGACGCGGCCAGTTCCAGCCAGACAGACTGTACTGAGTGGAATGAATCAGAAATAAACATGAAGGGTTTCTATGCTTTACACAGATATTGAACTGGTAATCTGTAGTATGAAAAGAGACCCAAAGATTGAATTATAATAAATTAAACCCAAGCCCAGTGAAACCCACTAGTTACTAACTATATTAAACAAATAAGAAAATTAAGTTTAATTCATGAGAGAGATGTATATATACATTAAATGTTTTAACAAGATAAAATAATGTCAGCTATGTTCATTGGCTTGACTGCAGACCAAAGAACATTAATCACGTTGTTTTCAAGATTAAGAAAATGCTTCTCATCCAAATTCTGTATCCTGTTTTTCTGCTATCAAAGTCCGCTGAGTGGGCTTTAAGTTACTGTGGACCTCGTGTATATGTGATCACAGCTTGTAGGGTGTAGTCTGGTTGCTATGGTGTGTTTTATATATGTTGGGTGCATGCTGTGTGTGCATGTATAAAACACAACTACTAAATACAAGTTTTTCAAAGACCAGGGTGTTGTTTTTTAATACTTAAAGGAAAGCTACAGTTTGTCTTACACTTATCTGTCTGAGTTATCGAGTTTCTACGAGAGTGATAAAATCACTCATCCATATTAATGCCAGGTATGAAACCAATCATGATAAGTTGTCTGGGTGAGGATGGTCCATTCAGATAAAGACCTCACTAAGAAATGATTGTCCGACCTTGAAAGGGTTTAGTAGCACAGCTCTTACAAGATGTAAGAGGTCTTGT